TTTCTAAATGAGTTTCACTTGTTTTATTTGGAGCAGACTCGTGTTTACATCCACTTCCTGTTTCTGTCCATATGTCACATAGAAGCTGAAACAGACGCATGCTGAGCGAGCGGCGGCGCGTTTACCTGAAGAGTCCCCCCAACCTTAAACCCTCAGCCTAGTCATTAATACAGAAAACTGCTCACAGGTTAACAGACAAGTCAGCAAAACATAGAGAACATTGAGCAGCGAGATGCCAGAACAACATGTTAAATAATGGATCAGTGTGACGTAAAGAAACAGTAAAATAATGAGTCAGGCTCGTTAAGATACAGTAAAACAGGAAACATGCAAAAGAACAAATTAAGATTTGTTAAATTACAGATGTTTTTTCAGCCAACATGTAAATTAATAGTTTTTCTTAGATTTTACTAAATAATAACAAAATATGTAAAATAGCAGTTTAAACAATAATCTGTCGTATATATACTGGTTTTAATTCAAATAATGACAAATGTCTGTAAAATATTACTCATGTATGTATTTTGTTATTTTCAGGTCAAGTGTGGTAAAAGAGCAAATGACCAAACGGTACAAACAGACTTCTGAGGTGGACACGGTTCTGGACACGGTTCTGGACACGGTTCTGGACACTTTTAGAAGGTTAGCATGTAGCATTAGCATTCTTAGCATGTAAATCAAACTGATCTGTGATCTGTCATAGAGCAGAAACATGTAGAAGAGCACTTTGAAGAAGGATGAACATTTTCCAACATACATGCACAGTTTTAATTTTAAATAATGACAAATATCAGTAAACTAATGATATTTATATCGTTTTTAACTTGTATACTTTTACAATCAAACTTTGTGTAGAAACACAAACACACACGTTTGATCCAGTTTTGGCCTGTTTTGTTTTGGGTGTTTTTTTTATCTTAACTTATAAATTCATCCTTATTTTCTAGGATTTTACTGAATATTTTTCAATCCTTTATATTCAGAATTGTTATTTCAGATAATGACTGACAGCCATGAAATAACTAAAAAAAATCAGTTTCAATCACATGAAA